ACAAGCCTTTGAGGAAGCTGCCAACTCCTTACAAGTCCCTAGCCTGAGTAGGTCTGGGCCCACAAGCCCCACACCCTCTGAAGGCTGCTGGAAGGCCCAGCACCTCCACACACAGGCACTAGCTACACTTTGTCCCAGCTCTTCAGAACTTACCCCTACCAGTTGTTCTGCCGCCACCTCCACCTCTGAAAACCCGGGGACATGGTCCTGGAAATTCCTTATTGAAGGTCCAGACAGGGCATCCCCAAACAAGAAGATAACAAGGACAGGTGAACCAACTAATTCTCAAGATGTAGGCACCACAGTTCCAACTCTTTCTAAGAACCTATCTCCTGAGCAAGAGAAGCCACAGCCACCTAGCGTCGCTGGGCTGACCTATCCACTTCGTGAGGTCCCCAGCCAAAACTGGTTATGGGAGTCTGAATGTGAACAAATGGAGAAAGAGGAACCAGCCCTGAGCATCACCGAAGTGCCTGATGCCTCAGGAGATACAAGGCAGGACATTCCATGCAGAGCCCACTCCCTGAGCCCAGAAACTGGGCCCAGCCTGCTCTGGAGAAGCCAAGAACTTGGGGGCCAGCAAAAGCATCAGGACTTAGCACTGACATCAGATGAGCTTTTAAAGCAAACATAGCAGTTGTTTGCTTTCCTTGCACTCACCTGTGTAATACACCCTCCTGGAAACCATCTTGGCCTTTGTTTGCTTCTTTCCATTGGTCATTATACACAGGACTGTCGTCAGCCTGGGGCCTTTTGCTGCAGGGATTGTAAAAACTAAATTCCCTGTCTCAGGAAGAGAACCTAATCCAGCTGCATTTCTCAAATCATGAAATAAGTGAGCTCGGACATAGTAAGTTACTATGCTGGATAGTAAGTTTTCTGGTGTAAGAGTAGGGAGTGGCTCAGGAGAGAATGGCCATAATGTAGCATATACGATACACCGACTATGTTCAAAGAATTAAAAGTGGAACTAGGTCTTGTTCAAGGACAGACTGTGGCTTACTGTCCTGCATAGTCACCAGTGTACACAAGGAACAAACCCGCTCTGAGACTACAGAGCAATGAAAGAGGATTTGTGGCCACTAATACTCCAGCTTGCTAGATAAGGAAATGAGTTTTCTTGCCCAAGGCAATACAGTTTGGACAGAGCTGGAATTAGACCTTGAGCCTCTGATTCTAGAACCTTTATCTCCCTAGTAAGAAAAAGCACAAGGAGGCGATGAGTTTTAACTTGGGATTTGTTTACTTTGAGCTATATATGGGGTATCCAGAAGGAAATAAAATATATGGAAATGAACTATATTTTATCACAATGACACCACTGGCACAGCAATATTAAAGGCAAGGGGTTGGGAGGTGTAGCTCAGTGGTAGAAATGTCTACCCCAAAAAAGGTCCAGTGTTCAGTCAATACACATTTCAAAACACAAGGTCCAAGAGAGGAAAGAGCTTCAAAATAGAAGGTCTAGTGGCTTCATAAAATGCTGAGAGGCCTATTTATTTAGTGACAGACTGTTTCTGGGCTGTTGTAGGTTGGGGCTTCTGCTGGTAAATATTGCAGTGAGCAGCCCTTAATGATTAGAACTGTACTGGTAGGTAGTGTTTGGGAGGGAAAGACAGAGGAAATATACAGGGGACCCAGGGGGTAGGTAAGGTAGGTAAGGGGATGTAACACTACAGGGCAGGAAGCAGGCTTGGTGGTGTGGTAAAGATGGTAGAGAATCTGGAAGATTCTCTCTGGTAAGGCCAGAATTCCAAAATCACTGAACTGATGGTTTTGCTACCTGCCCCATAATCAAATGCCTACCTCTGACAGAAGTACTGGAAGACCTGGAGATTGGTCTCCTGGACTACTGCAGCTTTGTCATTCTGTGTGGGGAAGACACCAGAAATTTGATTGACAATAACAGGTTCCTATACAACATGAACAGAAGCTTTTCTACATAAAAGCTATGTGCTAGTAGCTAGGGTTATATATGGTTTGCTTCTGTTTCGGAATAGAAGTACATCAGGTGCTACGGTCAGAGTTCATAGCATCACAGGACAGGGAACCAGGCTTGGTATGTCAAGGCTTAGAAGACTTGATGGCTCCAAGGGATATTTGGTCCATCTGGGATGCCTGCCTTATTCATTTCTGATAGTTGTGTAACTTCTTGTTATGTGTTAGCTGCAAAGCCTGAGCTGCTGTACTGGGTCATGAAAACAGGTCACAGGTTAGCCTGGAAGATCACAGGATGGCTAAGAAGGTAGTGATTATCTCATGTCAGAAGCACCAGAGCATAGGTGAAGGTGGTAGATAGGAGGAAGGAAGCACTTCAGTTTTCTGGAAACAGTCCTAGGAGGTTGGAAGTGAGAGTGGGAGGAAGCCCAGCCACCGGTCATGTTGTGATATAAATACAAGGGCATCAACCCAAGTGAAACACTGCTGAGTGTGAGGAGTTTCTCAAGACAACTTCAGGTTACATGGTACCAGGTTTGCTTTAGCCTGTCTATTCTCTGGCTGTAGTATAGACAGGCTGCAGTGGTTCACATAAGCCAGGGAATAGTGCACAAACTTGTCAACAACAAGGAACTATGAGGCGATAGGTGGTAATTAAAACTATATAAGATAAGGACTGCCTGGGAAACATACAGAGTGAAATGAGAAAGGAAACCCAAAAGGCCCCTCAACACTTAGTAGACACTGCCAGTACAAAAAAAAAAAAAAAAAATTGAAATAGGGAATGAGATCCTCAATTAGAAGTTAGATCCAGCAGGTATGGCGGAGCAAACTGAAGGAGGCAAGAGGCAGGAGTACCTCTTAAGTTTGGAGGCCAGATTGGTTTACATAGTGAACTCCAGGACAGGCAAGGCTACATCCACCATGTCTTCAAAACAAAACCTATGATTACGGACAGAAACTTTAAAAAGAAAGTTTAATTGGGTTTAAGGTTTTAGAGGGTTTAAATCCGTGGTAGTGGAACATTAGCATGACAGCAAAAAGCCGGGAACTTACAGCTTGGTCCTCAAGCAGGAGGCAGAGAAGGAATGCTGGGAGCCTTGAAACCTCAAAGCCCACCCCAACTGACATCCTTCCAACAAGGTCACACCTTTTTGTCCTTCCCAAACAGTTTCACCAACTGGGACCAAGTACTTAAGACATGAGCCTGTTGGGGCCATTCTAATTCAGAGCACCACACCCTGCATTATTCATGTGCTACATTCAATATACTGAATATGAGATATCTTACAGTGGTCTTGCCTAGATATAAGTAGGTGAATTCAGTGATGGATGGAAGCAAGCTAGGTAAAGAGGCCTAAGGTGAGACTAGAAAAGCCACAGAGATGAGACTTGTCAGAAGAAAATTAGGTGAATGGGTTGTAGTGGAGTGGATTTAGTGAAGAAAACAGAAACATTGGTTATTTAACATTTCAGGTTACAGTTTTGAGTAATGACCCATAGAGAAATTTCAAGTGAGGAAATAGCCATTGCGGCAGCTCTTGCTATGAAGAGAGGAAAATAAGGGAAGGGCATGAATAAGGACACCCAATTTGTTTTGTAAATGCATGTAGTGCCACAAGGCCAGATAGGCTGTCACATCCCCTGGAACCGTGATGTTTTTAAATCTGCCATGTGGGTACCAGAAACTAAACTTGGGTCTTCTAGAAAAACGGCTATCTCTAGTGCTATACGCCCAGCCATTTTAAAATGTAAAATGGGAATGATCCACCTGAGGAACTGAGTGGAAAAAAAAAAAATATTCCAGAGGTGAAAGGAAATAGAGTCCAAAAATATATATGAAGGATGGCATTGGTTGGAAGAGAGCTACCTATTGTGATTTAAAAAAAAGGAGAAAATAATCTCAAAGACACTATGTCCTATTGGAGATTTCAAGGAGCAATAGGCAGGAGGTAATTTACACCTTGTACATGGATAAAGTGACAAACTAGAAGACTAAGTCAGTTTCTCCTAACCCCAGATTATAATGAGAAAATGCTTATTGGCATGAAAACCAATAAAATATACATTGAAATGGGTGTTAAGGGGAAGAAATGGTTCTCATTTAATTTTTTTAATTAGTATTTGAGTTTGCGTGCTCTTTGGGGTAGATAGGTTTGTTGTATTGACTTCCTCTCACAGGAGAGAGAGCCTCTTGTGGCCCCAGTTTAGCCTCCAAGACTGCAGAACCCCTTCCTCCCTAACGGCCTCAAGCCCACTGCCCTCCATGCCAAGAAGACAAAAAGGTGTTTCACTGCAGTGTCTTTATTGCATCTGGAAGTCGGCCAGACCATCCAGAAGTCTTGGAGAAGGTTTAAAAAAAAAAAAAAAAAAAAAAGCCCCAACAATGTGCTCACCTTACCTTTCCCCCACCCCTTCCCCACAAATGCACAGCAATGTCCAAACACATTTGGTGACAAGAACAATTTGCAAAAGTGGTCTAGGAACTACATTATGAATTGTCCCAACACAAGGTACAATTGGCTTCCTTCTGAGTCAGTTATTTTTACATAAACTACATGAATTTTTTTATTACATCAAAGACAACAGAATAGATTCTTCACAAGAAACAACAGGGTACCAAAGTTACATGCGAGGATTTGTAAGGAAACAAGGCTGGCTGTCACAAATGGCTAGAGCTAAGTAGAGACTGAGCATTGGCAGCAAAGGACCACACATGGACCCTCTGTTTTATAGTGGCATGGAGACCTCACAGAGATCTACTCTGGTGTCCTAACTAGCAGCAGACATCATCCTAGAAAAAGGGAATTGCTCAGATACGTTTTTTATTTTTATTTTTTTAGCTCAGAAGAATGCATGGAGCTGGTACCTTGCACCAAGGAGCCAGGGAAGACGTCACACTGGCTTAAGGAGTATGAAGTAAATGTGGAGATCCTATGTATTAGGAGTGAAGCTATAGGATGTCTTCATCCATGGCTGGAACAGTGACAAGAACATAGATAACCTACCTATGCTTCAACTATGCCAGGTAGAAACAGCACTGTTTTGTTATTTAAAAAAAAAAAAAAAAAAAAAAAAAAAAAAGCCGTGTATCTTTACCTCTTCTTCGGTCAATGAGACTACAGTTAAGATATCAAAAGAGACAATGCCAGGACCCAGATTATGGGACAAAACATTGAGCTAGATTTGGGAAGAAGAAAATACCTGCTTCTGAGCCATGGAGCAATAAATAGCAGCATGTTGACTCCCTCAGACACCTGGGCTACTGTTAGGAGACTGGTCCTTATGCCATCTCCACAGCTCAGGATCAAGTAAATCATGTGGCAACTTGTCAGAAAAATATAAATTCCAATTTTTAAAATGATCCTGGGTCTCAGCCCCCACAAAGTGATCACTTAAAGGAATAAAGGACTGAAAAACTTCCACAGTCTAGCCTAGGTGTAGATGTTAAGATGCTTTCTCCTGTACATCCTCCATGTCTGCCTATAAAATAATGACATTATTCAACACTAAAGTTGTGTATCCTATTTCATTTTTACTTAATTGTGGGGGGAAAAAAGCATTCAGGACCAACTAAAAATTTAGTGTCAGATGGTAGGGATTCCTTGCACCTAATCTTGAGCATGTAATGGCTTCAGCAATTTCAACATCAGGTGTGAAGTCACATAGGTATGCCAATCAGCAAATAGCCTGACATTACTTGGTAAACTGAGCAAGATTTCAAGCTGGCAATTTTGAAAAACGGAAGGCCTTCAACAGTGGCTGAGGGAGGTCAATTTCCTCTCATTCCATATTGGAGCATCAGCAAAGAGAAGCCGACAATAAATAACATGCCCTTTCCTTCCTATCCTCATTGTGATGATTTTCCAAAACTGTTGATCTGTCTATCTCTATACTGCAGCTCATTCTAGACACTGTCACCAGAGTAAGTGCTCAGGGAAAGTCACATTCATCTTTGTTTTGGCCCCCAAACTCAATCTTCCCTGATTATAAGCCTTATGAGCCAAGACTCAGGTACAGGCTGCTTATCTTGTCCAACTAGAATGCCTGCTGCACTTCACTGAGCTCAGCCAGCTGAGTCACACTGAGCCTGTTAAGGCTCCAGGATTGGCTCTGAGCAGCTGGACTCATTTAACAGAGTGTGAAGCCAGGAATAGATGTCTGCCCTCTACCTCACTTCACTTAGCTGGAAGGTCTAAACCACATGGAGCAGAAGATTCCTGGCCTAAAATCACAGTTACTGAAGCATGAGGGCAGGCTATGCCCACTGCCTTACTGGAAGGCTCACAATAAAAGGCAAATAAATAGAAAAGCCTGTAGATTATTTCCCCAGATAGTCTGAACTCCAATGCTATCCCCTCTTCTGGCAAAAGTTCAACCACAGTATAGAATAACATGTAATACAATGGGCCTTTCACCCTGGACACCAGGGCCCATGTGTCCGTGATTTACTGAGGTCTCTGACCATAAACTGAGTCCTCCTCTAGCTACCTATGGCTCCCTAAACCCTACCCAGAAAAGGAAGGGGAAATGAAGGCATATTAACCCTTGTATAGTTTTGGCAAGGCTTTTAAACCTGGGGAAGCACACAACAATGTTGTTCTCTATTTGGTATATCAAGCCATCTAAAAGCACTGGATTGCACCTTTTCTTTACTCATAAAACAACTTACGAAGGTTTCAAACATCATTCATTAGACTAAAGAAACACCACATAAGCACCAACTTCACTATCCACACAAAATAATTCTATTCCTTACCTCTGAGAAACAAGGCCAGGGCAAAGGGAAACACACTGACCAATTTTAGTGTTTGTTGAAACTCACATCTCTAGTTTTCTTTCAAGTTTTGATACAGAAGTGTACATTCAGTTACTGTGTCCTTCTCCCCTTAGACCTTGGTCTGGTGATGCTGCTTTGTTGGTTTATGAACACAGTGCTTTAGAGGGAGGAGATGGTAAGATGCTGAAGTCTAAATTACATTGGTACAATTAAAAGTAACATCAATTAAAGGAGTCTTTCGCCTCCTTAGTTTAGATTCTGTAAATGAAACCCCACACCTCCCTATTTTCCTTTGGTTGTTTTTTTTTTTTTTTTCCTTCCTCCAAACCAAACCCCATTTTACCACAAAGCCAGACTTGGCTTCTTATTTGGTGGGGGAGAGACTATCAAAGCAAAACAACTCCCAGCAGAACCATGACCTGCTCTATTCTCAAAAGAGTTGAAGACAAGAGGACATGGACTCTTCAGAGGCTTCCAAATAAAGGCCCCATCCCCACCCCATCCCCACCCCATCCCCACCCCAAACAAGTTTAACTGTTCTTTCAAAGGTGCCTGACAACAAAACAAAACGCCTATGAAACCAATATCTGCTTCCAGCTTAGTATGTCAGTGCAGCAGCACAACTTGAGTCCAGAGACCCTGGGCCCCTCATTTATCCCCAAATCCTGGCCAGCTACTGCTTGGCCTCTCCATTTCACATTCACAGAATCACTTGTGCAAAACAAGCAGTCTACGTAGAAAGAATGCCCTCACCGGAGTCTAATAAAAACCGCAGGAAAAACTGCTGGAGAGCATGTCTCTTCCCCTCGCTTATCTGCAGAGTGAGGGCATCTGTGCGTGGACAGGGTAAGCGAGCCTGACATTGAGGGAGTCATTGTGCTGGACCAGGGATGTCTGCTGGTAATGGAGCACCAGCTCCTTGAGCGAGCTGTAAAGGTTGTAGGGTTCTGCAAAGCCATATCCTCGAGCAGTGCTGTAGATCACACAGTGCTTCACTTCCCCATCCGCACTGAAAAGACACCAGGGAAAAATGCTAAGGTGGGACAGCAGACAAAGTTCAGAGCAACTGTTAACAAAGGATCACATGCAGAAACATCCTGTCAATCAAACATAACTGTGCCTCATAAAGGCCTGACTTCAGAGGCTAAAACCACCACCAATGTAGACCTAATCTCTCAGTCCTCAATTCCTGTCACTCCATAACATGTCTATCCTCTTAATTTCTTATGGCTATTGATTGCTACAGCTTACAATCATGAATTCTGAAATCAAGATGGTAGTCCTACAACTTACATACTTACTTTCTTGAAATTGTTTTGGATATTGCATTTTACAGGAATTTTAGAAAAATCTTGTTTAATTCTGCAAATATTCAGCTAGAAATGTGGATTTTAGGTTTTTTGTTTGTTTGATAATTGTGTAGATCAACTTTATGAAGTACTGATAGTTTAAATATTTTTGAGGGAAGAAAATCAAGTTTATCACATTTCAAGGAGCTGAGTGGGTGTAAGAGTAATAGAAAAACTGCCTCCAGATCAGCAACCTGTGAGTTGTGACCCCTTTTGGAGGTTGAATGAGGCTTTCAGAGGGGTCACTTAAGACAACTGGAAAACACAGGTATTTACATTATGAATCATGACAGCAGCAAGATTACAGTTATGACGTAGCAATGAAAATTTTATGGTTGGGGGTCACCACAACATGAACTGTATTAAAGGGTCACAGCATTAGGAAGGCTGAGAACCACTGCTGTAGATATTAGCATACAGATATCTTCACTGAGGAAAGTCTTCTGTCAGTCATGATTCTCAGACATCATTGTACAACTTGTATTTGTTTAGTTCCTAGGCAATTCATATTTTCAAATGGTATGTCATTTCATGTTTGAGTTATTCCTTACTAGTACACAGAAATACATTTTTTATAAACTGGGCATGGCAGCACCCAAAAACATGAGAAATAGAGGCCTGAGTATCAGAAGCTCAAAGTCATACTCAGATAGATACACAACAGATTTAAGACCTGCCTGGGGTACATGAGACCCTATCCAAAAATATAAGTAATTATATATGTGTATGATACATATATACACACATACAACACAGTGCTGTAATCTGCAACTTTATAAGGCCATTTTACCTCTTCCTTTCCAATCACAGGATTTTTTTTTTTTTTTTTTTTAGAGACAGGGTCTCATGGTGTACCTTGGCAGGTCTTGATATTCCCTACACAGAGCAGGCTGGTCTGGAATTCACAGAGACCCACCTGCCTCTGCTGCTGAGTCTAGGAAGGATTAAAGACAGGTATGCCACCTCTCCTGGCTCAATCACAATGCCTTTCTTAGAGGAAGACATTCAAATGTCTATCATTAAGTGTGATACCTTTTATCTGGTAATACAATTCTCCCCTAATCCTAGTTTATCAAATGTTTTGTTTTGTCTTGTTTTAGGAAATGAAAGAATTGTATTTTGCAAATACCTTTGTGAACATACTGAACATACATGATGGGAGGGGTCCTTTCCTAGTATTATCACATTAGTTGATTTTTTTCTATGTTAAACCACCCTTGCTTTCTTGAAATGATTTTTATTTAGTCATGATGCATAATGCTTTTTCTGTGTGACTGAGGCTGCTTTCTTGGTTTTTTTCCCCCTTTTTTTTAAAAATAGAATTTTTTTGCCAGGCGAGGTGGCGCATGCCTGTAATCCCAGCATTCAAGCAGGCAGAGGCAGACGAGGCCAACCTGGTCTACAAAGCAAGTCCAGGACAGCCAAGGCTACACAGAGAAACCCTGTCTCAAAAAAAAAAAAAAAAAAAAAAAAAAAAGGAAAACAGATTTTTTTCCCCCTTACATAATATATCCTGATTTCAATTTCCCTTCCCTCTACTTCTCCCAGTTCCTTCCCACCTTCCCTCCATATGGATCCACTCCCTTTCGGTCTCTCATTAGAAAGAAACAGGCTTCTAACACATGAAGTTAGAAAAAAACAAACAGAAGGACAAGAGCCCAAAAGAAGGCCCAAGAAACAGACACCTATTTGTTTACACATTCAGGAATCGCCCAAAACACTAAACTGAAAGCCATAATATATTCAAAGAGGCCCTGGTGCAGAGCCATGCAGGCCCTGTGCATGGCTGCCTCAGTCTCTGTGACTTCATATGAACTTGGATCATGTTGATTTAGTTGGCTCTGTTTTCTTAAAAGTCCTCTATGCCCTGTGGCTATTACACTCTTCCTGTCTCCTCTTCCCTGAGTCCTGAGGGGAAGAATTTGATGTGTGGCTAAGTGTTCCAAGGTGTCATTCTCTGAATCTAAATGTCTGCATGTAAGTATTTGTGCACATCTGCTACAGATGAAAAACATTTTTTTGTGGGGTTTTTTGAGACAGAGTTTTTCTGTGTAGTCCGGGCTGTCCTGGAACTTGCTCTGTACACCAGGCTGGCCTTAAAACTCACAAGAGATAGGCCTGCCTCTGCCTTCTAGGTGCTGGGATTAAAGGCTTGTGCTGCCACCACCCAGCCAGGAAGATTCTTTGATGATGGCTAAACACAGCACTGATCTGTATTGCACAGCAGAATGTCATTAGAAGTCATTTATTCATTAGAAGTCATTTTATTGCTCCTTTTTTAATTTTTTTAAAGAACAGTAGTATTTACCCTAGGTCCTTGGGCTATAGTCACTGGTTCTTGATCACCCAAGCAGTGTTGGGTGTGGAGTGGACCTCAGGTCAAATCAGATATTAATTGGTTTCTTCCCCAAGTTTTGTGCCACCGCTGCAGTAGCACATCTTACAGGTAGGCCACCACTGTCAGTCCTAAGGGTTTGTGGCTGGGTTGGTGTTTACGTTTCTTTTAGTAGCATACAGAGTAACTCTGAGTCCCAAAAACACTGAAACAATATGGGTAACAATTTTATATAGGCACCAATTTAATCTCTCCATATTCAATGAGTTGTATAGGTGTTGTCTTCAGCAATAGAGCCTCACTGTCAGTTTGTGGAGAACAACCTAGGGCCTTGGCAACAGCCTAGGTTAGAGATTCTCCATGGGATCCCTTTGGCCAATAACTCAATTAGGTGTGGCCCAATCCTGTAACTGAAAGCTTCATTTGGTGACAAGAAATGGCCAGTTGGGGCTTTGTCTCTCCAATTCTTTGGTAATTTCAATTGGATCACCTCATATATGTATGTATTTTAGAAAGCTTCTACTTTATTAGGTTTCCATATAACCCCTCAAATGATCCTTAATTTTAATTCTCTCCCCATATTCCCTTCCTTGTCTCCTCTTCCCTCCCCATCCTCACTTGATCCTCCTGTTCCAGCCTCTGCTCCCATCCATTCATCCATCCATCACTATTCTATTTCCCTTTCCTAATGAGATCTATCTGTTCTCCCTAGTCCCTTACTCTATACCTAATCTCTGCTTCTGTGGATTGTAGCCTGATTATCATTGACTTAACAGTTAATATCCAAATACAAGTGAAAACATACCACCATATTTCTAGGTCTGGATTAGCTCATTCTGGGTGATTTTTTTTCTAAGTCCATTTACCTGCTTTTTGTATGTTTGTTTTTGTTTGTTTTTCCAGACAGGGTTTCTCTGTGTAGCCTTGGCTGTCCCAGACTTGCTTTGTAGACCAAGATGACTTTGAACTCATGGAGATCCACCTGCCTCTGCCTCCCCAAGTGCTAGGATTACATGTCCAACCATTTCATCTTCCTAATGGCTGAGTAATATTCTGTTGTGTAAGTGTATCTTTATTTTCTTTATCCCTTCTTCTCTTGAAGAACATCCAAGTTGTTTCCAATTTCTAGCTATTATATATATGAACATAGCTGAACAAGTGTTTCTATGAGAGGAAGCATCCTTTGGATATATGCTCAAGAGTGCTAGAGTGGATCTTGAGGCAGATAATTCCCATCCTTCTTAGGAACAGCCACACTTGATGTCCATAATGGCTGTATAAGTTTACACTACCCCAGCAATGGAGCAGTGTTCCCCTTATTCCACATCCTCACCAGCATGAGCTGTCACTTATGTTATTATCTTAGCCATTCTGACAGGCGTAAGATGGAATCTTAAAGTAGTTTGGATTTACATTTTCCCTGATGATTAAGACTGTTAAACATTTGTTTAATTGTTTCACAGCCGTTTGAGATTCCTCTTTTGAGAGTTCTCTGTTTAGATCTGTGCCCCATTTTTAAATTGGTTTGTTTTCTTGCTATCTAGTATTTTGAGTTCTTTCTATATTTTAGTTATTAGTCCTCTATTGGATGTGTAGTTGGTAAAACCTTTTTCCCATTCTGTAGGCTACAGCTTTGTCCAAATGATGGTGTCCTTTGTTATGCAGAAGCTTCTCGGCTTCACTTGGTCCCATGTACTCATCGCTGATCTCGGTGCCTGTGCTGGCAGTGTTCTGTTCAGGAAGCTGTCTCCTGTGCCAACTGAATTCAGCGTTATTCCACACTTTCTCTTCTATCAGGTTCAGTGCGCCTAATTTTATGTTGAGGTCTTTGATCTATTTGGAGTTGAGTTTTGTGCAGGGTGATAAGTATAGATTTATTTAAATTCTTCTACATGTGGCCATCCAGTTTGCCCGGCACCATTTGTTGAAGAAACTTTCTTTTTTCCATTGGGTCTTCATAGACACCTGTTTTGTTTTGTTTTGTTTTTAATAAAAAAGCCAGAGTGTCCAGAGGTATGTGGATTTATATCTGGATGTTCAATTCAAGTCCAATGTTCAACGTGTCTGTTTTTATGTGGGTTTTTTTTTTTATTATTGCTCTGTTGTACAGCTTGAAATCAGGGATGGTATACCTCCAGCAGTTCTTTCATTGTTCAGGATTGTTTTAGCTATCCTAGGTTTTTTGTGTTTCCATATGAAACTGAAAATTGTCCTTTCAAGATCTGTAAAGAATTGTATTGGCAGGGACTGTCTCTGACATGAACTGATTGGCCTGCTCTTTGACCACCTCCCCCTGAGGGGGAGGGGGAGTGCAGCCTTACCAGGCCACAGAGGAAGACAATGCAGCCACTCCTGATGAGTCCTGATAGACTAGGATCAGAAGGACTTGAAAGGAAGACCTCCCCTATCAGTGGACTTGGGGAGGGACATGGGTGAAGAAAGGAGAGTGAGGGTGGGGTTGGGAGGTGAGAAGGGAGGGAGCTACTGGGGGGATACAAAGTGAATAAAGTGTAATTAATAAAAATTAAAATAAAAAATATTAAAAAAAGAATTGTATTGGAATTTTGATGGGGAGTGGGTTAGATTGCTTTTGGGGAGATGGTCATTTTTATTATGTTGATCCTTACCAAACCATAAACATAGAGGAATCTTCTAATATTTTCTTGTTTCTTTCTTAAATGACTTGAATGAAGTTTTTATCTTTCACTTTCTTGGTTAGAGTTACTCCAAGATATTTTTATTATTTGAGGCAACTGTGAAAAGTGTTTCCTTTATTTCTAACTCTACTTGTCATTTGTGTAGAGCCAGTGATTTTTGTGAGTTAATTTTGTAGCCAGCCACCCTGCTAAAACTGTTTATCAGCTGTAGGAGACATGCTGCCATCCTCTTTTCCTTGTTCTTGTAAGACTTGAAGTGGTAAGCACAGCCCTCTCTGTCATTTCTACTCGCACAACTTAAGCAGAGTAAATCAAACAAAACTGGGATGCTGTAAGTAGTCCAGCTTTTAGATGACAATAATACAGTAATACAGTGCAGTTCTTCCTTCATCTTCTCCATAGACAGCATTCATGCTTTAGGGTCCAGTTCTAACACCTCTTCCACAAACCTTTAACTCTCTTTTTCCCCAACCAGAATAAACATTTCCACACATGAAAGGCCTACTAATGATAGTTATTTCACAGTTATTCTATTTATCTTAGATATTTTAGGAAATGAAGCCTAGGAACTAAGTGATAGTTTATACTTAAAATCTCACTACTCTGTGAATCCCTTTCATTTATCATTTCTACCTGGCCCTCCTTTGTTTTAAGTTAACACACAAAATAATGGGTTTCCATGTGACTTTATAAAGGGTTTTAAAATTCCATTAATTTTGTTGTTGTTGTTTTGTTTAGAGACAGGGTTTTTCTGTGTAGCCCTGGCTATCCTGGACTCATTTGGTTGGCCTAAAACTCACAGAGATCTGCCTGCCTCTGCCTCTCTAGTGCTGGGATTAAAGGCGTGCACCACGGCGCCCAGCACATTTATTTCTTTATGTTGGGGCATACATATTATGTATACATGCCATGCATGCGGAAATCAGTAAACGACTTGAAGGAGTTGGTTTTCTTCTAATACCATGTGAGCCTTGAACTCAGGTCATCAAGCTTGTGGCAAGTGCCTTTACCTTCTGAGCCCCAGCACAGCTTTTGAGACATAATGTATATTATATGTATTATATTATATGTATTATATCATATTATATTCCCTTGCTGCCTTCTGTTCCCCTTGCTTCTCCCAAATAATTACAGTTTCTCTGTGTAGCCTTGGCTGTCCCTCCTCTGCTTTCATGTTGTTTATATTTATACTTATATTCTACGTGTGAAGGTAAACATCCATCATTGTCTAAACCTTGCCCTCTTTGACAGCAGTCACTTGGTAACCTTTCTTTGCTCTCTACTGTGACCTACTGTGGCATTATTACCATAATAACATTAATAGGTAGCATTGACCTCACAGCAAGTATTATTCCCTTTGCTTTACAGGTGAGACTAGACAGGAGACAGGTAAGTTATGTGCCCATGTTACACAGCAAGGATGCATCAGGGCCAGACTCAAATCCATTACATCCTGAAGCCATTAGATAAACACTGATGGTAACCATAACTTATCACACCATTCTCTAATTCCATCTCAATTTTATGATGATGACTTTCATTAATTAATGGAGATCTAAAAAGATCATATCCCTAGAGAAGACTTACACCACAGAACAAGCGTAACATCCTTTCTTGCTACTCTCGCGAATTAAGAATGCGCCATCTGGTTTCCCATAGAGCAAGTCCTCTGCTTGTACTCGGTTGATATCCTCCACAAACCAGGTTTTCTCATCATAATGTGGCAGGTTCTCATCTTCCTCATTGATAAAAAAGCTTCTAAAAATTAAATATTTGAGATATTATTCTAACAATCAGTTTTCTTATATCTAGAGTTAATAAAATGTTCTCATTCTTTATAAAAATCAGATGAATGTTTAGTTTTAAACAACTTTACTATGGTGCAGAAACTATACAACTCATTCAATAAGCTAAGACATTTGAATGGCAGTATATGCATCCAGGTTTCACGTGGAGACTTTCTACATTAAGTTTGTGTACAGTACTCTTCGGGTAACTCAGTTGAAAAGAGGTGCAAAGTCCTCTGTTCTGCAAGTGACCCTGGGAGCCAACTTTCCACATGCATGGTGGGAGGAACCTCACACTGAGAAGAAAGCCCTGTGGTAGGAAGGACTTACTCATCAGCATCCTCATTCTTGATCCCAAGCCAGGCATTCAGGCGCTTCTGCCTCACTCCTTTGTGATTGAGCCACCTACCAAGAGAGAAGACTTTGTCAGAATCTAACTAACTGCATGGACAAAGTAAATATGCTTAAACCAGACAGGCTTTAAAAGTCTAGGAACCTTCATTTTTCCTAGTCTCAAGAAGAGTGGCCAGAGTTTTCCCTAAATTAATCTTTCCATTACTTTTCCCTCAATTAATACCATAATTTCCCTGAAAAAAAGGAAGAAACAGAAGTGTACTTGAAATTAGGCATGTATCTTTTCTTTCTTCTCTATTCTAGAAGCACACACAAACTTGCATTCAAACATACAGAGGCCCATGGCCTAAAAAAGGAGTGTAAAAATGAAGTATTAAAACATTTTCATGAGCTACCTTTAATCCCAGCACTCAGGGAGGTAGAAGCAGGCAGATCTCTATGAGTTCAAAGCTAGCTGGGTCTACAGAGTGAGTTCCAGGACAGCGAGGGTTAAAACAGAAATACCCTGTTTCAAAAAAACAAGAACAACAAAACACTTGCTCATCACCAACCAAGGCTCCTTTCCTTAATCAATATCTTTATAAACATCATCTCAGAGCATCTGCCCAAATTGTCCTGGCTAAGGCCTACTCTACCATTTTATTGTCTTCAGAGCCCCTGGAGAAATTTGTATATTTTTACTGTTTATGCTTGTCTCCCCGACAAAACTATAAGTTGTTTTAAAGAGATTTCTCTTCTATGGCCATATTGACAATGTCTTAAACAGTGTAAGCAGCGATAATCAATACACAGTAAATGTTTACTTGTGGGATGCTTTTAAGAAAATCTTCACAACTCTGGGATCATCTTAGTATCTGTTACTGACCCCAAGTACACTATATAACCTAGCATCACAACTAAGTTTTTATAGATCTAAAAGTCACATTTTTTGAAGACTTTCTCAGGAATAATTTCCCTTCGGTTAACCTGGATTTCATTTTTGACACTGAGTGAAGCTAGAAAAGAGGTAAAATGTGATTTATTCATAACCATCCCATCCCATCCCACTACACTATCACTTCTTTTAGCAAAATACTCAGACACCTGTCTCTAAACAGCCTTAGCACCAACCTTTTCTTGGCTCAAAGAAACTGATCTCTTTATTAAGAGATCACCACAATGAGTAAGAGACTTAAATTTAGTAAAGCACACTACAATATCTCTAGCTAGAAACAATGACAGATGCCTTCCTCTGTTATGACAGGGTCTCTCATTGAAACTAAAGCTCACCATTTCAGTAAGACTGGCTATTCGACAAAGTCCCAGGATCAACCTGCCTCTGCCTCCCAGGACTGTGTTTAATGATGGCTGTGGCCATACCTAACTTTTATGTGGGTGCTAGAGACTGAAACTCAGGTCCTTATGCTTATAACAAGTGCTCCTCCATCTCCTCAACTTCCCTATTTCCTCTTAATCCCCAACCTCCTTAAATTAAGGTGCCCCTTCTAGGAAGAAACTTAGGACACCTCTGAAAAGTAAGGAAACAAAAGAATAAATGGTTTGGGTCCATGTCCCAGTCACAAAGTTGCCCACCTTCTTACATAATCGTTTTAAGATTAAAAAAAAAAAAAAAGATAATAATAACATATCCTTTTTTCACCCTTGCCTCACTTAGCAAGATGGGGAAAATATATAAAGTTCTACTTGGCTGTATGGTCTAATGTCTCAGACTGAAGAAAAGGATGAAGCTGGAAAGAGGAGCATAGGGAAAACAGTAGGCTTCTGTAGGGAGAATTCTAGAATTTTGGTTTCTTTAAAGAACATAGGAATATTGTAAGAGTTTTAATCCCAGGTGTGGGGTATGGGGCTGCTCTGCAGCAGCTGACCATGATTTGCCTTGTGCTCTAGTAGAGGGGTGGTTTTTGCCAGCTGCAGATAGTTTATGTGATTGTGGGATATTTAGAATTCTGAGGACTTTTCAGAGGGTATAAAAATGCTAGAGCTCTGAAAGGTGATATACGTGACTGTTGGTCATTCAGGGGGGTTAGCTGCAGTTTGTTAGTAGTCATACTCAGAAAGAAAATTAGGTTCACAGATACCTATCTCTCAACTAGAAAGAAAAAAAAAATCAATGACTAGGAACCAAGGAAGTAGCTAATGATAGCAGTCAAGAGGTTGGGACAAAAGATCTGTGTTCCTTAGTTTCCTAGGTGATTTTTGGTCTTATTTTGTTTTGTTTTGCTTGGGGGAGGGGGTTGTTGTTTTTGGTTTAGTTTGGTTTGTTTTTTTAAGACAGGGTTTCTCTGTGTGGAACCTTGGTTCTCCTGGTCTCTCTTTTATAGACCAGGCTGGCCTCGAACTCTCACGGAGATCCCCCTGCCTGTGCCTCCCAAGTGCTGGTATCAAAGGTGTGCATTAGCCAGGAGGTGCTGGAGTACACCTTCCATCCCAGCACTCAGGAGGCAGAGGCGGGAAGATCTCTGTGAATTTGAGGCCAGCCTGGTCTACACAGTGAGTTCCAGAGAGAAACGTGTTTCCCCATCTATCTGATGGGGAAAGTTTCAATAGTTAATGACTTTAAGTATTTTCTATGTAAAGGGTACATGGTGGACAGTGGTGAATATAGCTGCCTTCAAAGAAAGAGAATGATGTACCAGTATTTTATATTCTCTCTAAATAAGAATAAAATGAGGGCAGGTGTAATGGTGCACACCTTTAATCCCAGCATCAGGAAGGCACTGGCAGATGGGTCTCTGTGAGTTTGAGGCCAGTCTAGTCAACATAGTGAATTTCAGGACAGCCAGAGCTACACAATGAGACCCTATCTCAAATGAAACAAAACGGAAAGAATAAAATGTTAAAAAGAAATATATTAGAAATATATTAAGATGTGATTCTTGACTAGCACCACTGGTGTGAGCATAGGCCACCTTTTAAACAGTGAAGGGTCCACAAACACAATGGCCACACAACTCCTCTCCTGGCTGCAAAAGAACACACCTATTCACAAAATCATGTACATGAGTGTTCATACCCATGTTCTTAATAACAACCAAAAGACAAAGCAACCCAATAACGGAGCCACCCCTGCAGCCCCAACATGTCTCTCCCTCTGGAGCACTCTGCTAATTTCTTCTGAGAGCTCCCAACTGTCTGCATGGAGTGCAGTGCTGCAGTCTAACGTGTGCCACTCGGGGCCTCCTGCTACTAAATTCTTAGATACCACCTTCTAGTTTCCTAGTTCAATACCCTGATGTTGGTGTGTCCCTCAGCACAGACTACTCACACAAGGTGCTGATCACGGATCCTACGCAGCTGAATCAGGTCAGGTTTGATGCTATTCATTTTCTTATCTATTTCCCGGTTGTCCAAAGCTTGTTTCTTCAAATCCTGCTCTAGACGCACTTTGCTATCATGAATCTCACCAAGGCGTGATTTCAATTTATCATAATTCATCATAATTCTGTGAAAATATGACATATTAAGGCTAAAGTAACAACAGAAGCAGAAGGATCATGAAGCATAAACAGGGTCCAAATATCTTCTGGGGTTTGTCTGATTGTTTGAGGCAGGGTCTCACTGTGCTACACAGGCTGCTCTTGAATTTCTGGACTTAAGCAAGTCTCTTGCCTCTCAGCCTCTGGAACAGCTGAGATGATAGGCATGTGTCACTCTTCCCAGCTAGTATCATAAGAGCATGACTATGGGCTATATTAGGAAAAAAATAAGCCACCATGTCTACTCTTAATGAGTTTGCAGTTTAATGGGCACATGTTATACTGGGGTCAGGACCAAACACTGTATGAACACTGACAAAATGCCTCTGAAACGGTATGAGGTCTAGAGGGATTTTAATACAGAAACATGGCTGCTCCAGCAAGAGATCACATCCAAAGACCTTCTAGGTCTGTATAACCTGGGTGGAATACAGGCATGCCTTTAATCCAGGAGACAGAAACATGCAGAGTCAGTTCAGCTGAGTCAGTAAGTTGGGAGGCAGCCCAATGGAGTTGAGTTTATGGCAGTTCAGTTGATGGAATTCAGAGACAGTTTTTATAAGGAGAGTGAGACCAAAGAATTAAAAACTAGGTTTTTGGGGTACTGAGATAAAAAGTTTAAAACCTATCAGGCCAGTTGGCCTTGGTGCTTCTAGGCAGATCCAGCCAGCTGCAGGGAAGAGATGACCTTAGTGCTCATAGAGGTACTGTTGCCAGGAAACCGGCCTGGATGACCCTGATCCTGGAGATAATCGTCTCTCCCCTCCCCTAGCAGTCTATCAGTCCACGACAGGACTGATACCCAAGGCCAGCACAGAACAGGACTGAAGCCCAAGGCCAGCTGTTTCCCCTCACCCCCAACAAAAGAAAGAACAAAGAAAGTCAGAACTGTTCATGGTCCTGGCACTTTCTCATAGCAAACAATTTTGAAATGTAGCATCCCCTTTTTCTGTGTTAACCAACAGAATAGCTTTCCAGGCTAGAATCCCCTGCTTTGGGTGCACTGGGAGGGGCTGAGGCCTATAAATCACCCACAATCCAGAGCTCAGGACTCTCAGCTGGATGCCAATGCCTTGGCGTCTGTGGGAATCCAGCTCAAGCTGTAACTAAAGATCCTTGTGTGTTTTGCAATGGACTTGACTCCTGGTGGTCTTTTGGGGATCTCACAAATCGGGCACAAGAGTTTTACAGAGAAAAGTTGAAAAGAGAACAAACTAGACAAAGGTGAAGACAGAAGAAGCCAGAGAATGAGAAGAAGCCAGAAGATTAGAACAGATTGCTGGAGTTAGTTTGAGGCCAAGAAGAGCTCTTGAGTGAGAAACTGAGAAAAACCAGATTTAATCAGTAAGCCTAAAGAGGAGTTTGAGCCAGCCAGTGGAGTTGGACCAGCCAGCCAGAGTTCAGAAAAAATTAGTAAAGGTGAGCTTATTCAGCAGTAAGTCTCAAGAGGCTGAAAACATTCTAGGCCTAGATTAGATTGTAGGGAGGCTAGAAGCTTTCGGAGGCAGTGAGCTTCGGAGGCAACGATTAAATAAGACACATAAAAGTTACTTTTACAACGAAGTCAATTCAGGAAGACTTTTCTGGAAAAGGTTATGTCTAACCTAAGTTTTAGAGTAAGAATAAATAATTAGTATGAGTAAGAATAAAGAATAGAAAGAATAGTAAAGAATGAAGAATAGAGATAGAAAAGAAGAAATGCCATTTGGTACCATTAGTGTGAACAGCCAGCAGTTCCATATAACATGGCTGTGCAAGTTGAGGGGGTAAAAACAAACAAGAAAAAAATTATTAATAAAGAGAAAGGTCTTATTTCAGTGCTCACTTGGAGGTATTACGTACACTCACCGTTCAATCTCCTTTTCATTCCCCTCTCTGCGAAATCGCTCAATATATTCTTTACTGTGTTGTTCTTGGGTATGACACTGCTCCTCAAATATTTTAATCGTTTCATTAAAAGCTTCGATTGCAGTCCTCTTCATCTGTATTTCCTAGAGGAGGAAAAATAAAAATATAGACTTTATAACTAAGCATGGTAGTTCATGACTGTAATACCAGCACTCTGGAGGCAAGAATTGGGAGGCACAGGACTTCAAGGCCAGTATCACCTATAGAGCAACCTTAAGGCCAGTTTTAGCTAAATGAGCCTCCATTTCAAAAAGCAAACACACAAACACTTTATCAGATATTTATAATCTTGATCTTAAAGCAAATCTTATAATTCTGCTTATAATCCCATATCAGATAAAGTATGCAGACTAGAGATGTGGCTCAGTGGTACAGTAAGATCTACTAGCATGGGAAAGGTCCTTGATATAGTCCCCAAGCACTGGTGGAGGTGAGGTGGGGACCTGCAGCTGTAGTTCAATTGTTAGCATGCTTGTCTAGCCTTTACAAAGCTCTCAGTTTGATTCGCAGTACCAAGCATGCTATCACATGTAATCCCAGCATTAGATGGTAGAAACCCAAGGACTACAACTTAAAGGTCTTGATTGGCTACACAACAAATTCAAAGCCAGTCTGGATTATATAAGACCCTATCTGAAACAAACAAAAAGGATTATAAGACTCTATTACAGGGCAAAACCAGCCCCTTTATTCAACACTTCTCTATTACTTACATGTAAAACACTTCAAATTATAAAATTAATAAAAAGAACCATTACATGAGATATATCTTAGAACCACAGAAAGACCTTTGATTTGCCAAGAGACCAACTTTGAACACCTTGACTACAAGGATCATTTTACTGTGCACCAATTATTACAGTGCTAATCCCTAAAAGTTAACTGAAAGAGTGACTGGAGGGATAAAAAGTTCATGTACCAAAATTCAAAGTCTTATTCCCAGAAGAGCTGTGTAGAGCCTACTTATTATCACTTTCATCACTAAGCTGCATACTGAATTTTCCAGTTTCATCAGTAATCTAATTAGAAGGAAAAAAAATAAAAGCAGAGAGACTATCTGCTAAAGTCAGATGTACTAAGAAGATTAAAAACTACAAAATAGACTTACTCCAAAATCCCAGTTAGGTTATGCCATTTAGTCTCCAAGTAAATAGTCCCATACATTTTGATGACCTCAGATATTACAGGCTATTTGATCCCATTGTGAACCCTGAGATTGTGAACTATAAAAAAAAAAAAAGTTTCTAATTGTGGTATGGTTCAATCTCTAATCCAAAAACTTCCTGTTTATTGTAAACAAGTGGATGTGGTGTGGCTCAGCTTTCTGTAAATAGGATTAAATAAAGTTAACCCTAGGTCAAGAAGCAGAGCAAGCAACCAGCTGACAGGGATTAAACAGATAGGAGGTACATTGAGGAGGAAGGTATTTAAGACACCTTGGAGAAGAAGAAAGAGCTTTTGGCTTTTCCCTTCTGGAGCATGAGATAAGTAAAAAGGCTTTTTCCTTCTGGGATGTCAGCTGAGTAGGAAGGTCAGGTGGGTGCTTTCTCTGCTTCTCTGAGCTAGCAGGTTTTCGCCTCAGCATGTGGCTCCTGAGTCTTTACTGGTAAAACTGAATGACTGGGATTTTCTTTCTTTACAACATTTTGGTGCTCTAACAAGTGGCAAGTGGCACACAGACAGAGCTTTCAACAAACTGAAAAGCCATCAGATTTACCAAGTCATCTGGGAAGTCCTCAAGGATAGTGTTAAGGATAGGAAGTACCATAATAGAAGGCTTTAGGACTCGAAAATAGAAATCAAAAAATAGAAAATAGACGCTGTGGTGCAGCCTTTAATCCCAGCACTTGGGAGGCAGAAGCAGTCAAATATTTGTGAGTTCAAGGCCACCTAGTCTATAAAGCAAGTTCTAGGACAGCCAGGACTGTTACACAGAGAAATCTTGTCTCTAGGGCTGGAGAGATCAGGTTAATAGCAATGACTGCTCTTCCAAAGATTCTGAGTTCAATTTCCAGCAACCACATGGTGACTCACAACCATGTATAATGAGATCTGGTGCCCTCTTTTGGCATGCAGGTGTACATGCAGGCAGAACATTGTATATTTAATAAATAAATCTTTTTTTTTAAGAAATCTTTTCTATAAAAACAAACAAAAAAGAAAAGAAAAAAAGGAAATATAAGCAGAAAATGAAAAACTAAAAGCTAAATGGCTTAACAGAATTTGTCTCAATACTGATTATGATTATCATTTTCATATTTTATATTTTATCCTTAATAGACATAGTGGCTTTCTGTACCTGCTCAAAGAAAAAAATGTTTAGAGATACAGTAAAAAGAAAACTATGAAAAGTGTATTGATAAGATACAAGCCTTAGAAAGACTTACGCAGGAATTTAGGCAAGCCTTAGAAAGATCTATAAATGAGAGTAAGAAAAATACTCAGACACAGACAGGAATTTAGACAGCCTTAGAAAGACCTAAGAAAGATAGTCAGACACAGACAAAGGAATTTAGACAAGAGCCTGCCACACCACCACATAATGAAACTAAAGGGGGGAGGAGGCAGCAACTAAAAAGGGACACACAGAGTTGTTAAAAAACAAACCTTAGTTATCTAGTTATACAAGACATACCAGGGGATGATAAGTACCCCCAAGGTTATAGAGAAGTTAAATGAAATCCTATAGACATGTTAGATTTAAGGAAGTGAATGGTATGCATTCACCCAATATGAAACAAATACTAAATCTACGAGCAACTCAGATCAGGATTATTCTCCAAGACTGGAAGGACTTGGCAACATCAATATTGGAAGCTGATCCTCAGTTACAATGGCAGACATGGTGGAAAGAGGAAGCTAGGGCCATAGAGCAATAAAATCAGGCCAGAAGTACTGATATTTTCCAGGATCAGTTGCTAGGTGAAGGTCAATATGCTGAGTTACAAAGACAGCTTGAATTTGATGATCATACTGAGAGGGCTTAATTCCAGTCTGACTTCATGACAGGCTTAATTTTAACTTTACCTAACTAGGCTTGAGTTTCAGTTTCTGTTTTCTAGGAACATGTAACAGGTAGTCAATCAGCACTGGCCCTGACACCTGGTTTGGGTCAGATATAGTTACTTAATAATTGCTTCAGAAAAATTACTTAAGCTCCTAACAAAATCTGATTGGCCCCAGACCTGTTAGCTAGCCACCAATCAAAGCAAAGGCCATCCAATCATTCCTGGAATTCCCCTGACTGTCTATAAATAGGATTTGTCTGCCCCCTCCTGGGTCATCACCATTTTTCAAGGTGGCAGCTGCATGCTGGAACTTTCCGAAGAATAAACACTCTTCGATTTTGCATATCATCTGAGTCTGGAGTTTTTCTTCAGCAATTCACAGACCCTAACAACACCTTACCACTATGTCATTTAGCAGCTTTAAATGCTTGGGATAAAATGCTTGTCATTTACTAAAATTATACAAGGTCCAAAAGAAGCCTTCACTGATTATTATCATTTTCTTTTTTGCAAAAATTGACTTCAGCTATAAATAGAATAATATCATATTCAGAAGTCAGAAAAGTACTAATTGAATCTTTAGCTTTTGAAAATCCTCATTCAGAATGCAAAAAAAAGTGATAAGACCTTTAAAGGAAGATCAGCACCAACAGAGAAATGGATTAGACATACGGCTAATATTGGCTCTAATTTTTATGATGCTACTCTGATAGAAGAAGTAATTTCTAAAAGCATTTAATTCAAAATGGGGGGCTGGAGATGTGGCTCAGAGGTTAAGAGCACTAGCTGCTCTTCCAGAGGTTCTAAGTTCAATTCCCAGCAACCACAACCATCTATAATGAGATCTGGTGCCCTATTCTGGGGTGCAGGCGCACATGCAGGCAGAACACTGTATATATGATGAATAAATAAAAATAAATCTTAAAAAATTTCAAAATGGCAGACGTTTTAATTGGTATTATTGGTAATTATTGGTAATTAAAAGGTATTATCAAGAACAGTCACAGACTCTCCAGGTCATCCATAAGCAGGATACAGCAAGTGTTGGTCTTTCAAAGGTACCAACTGCCCTACCTTTAAAATGGTTAAACTAGGTATAAAAATATAAAAATTAATATTTTTGAATGTTAATTTAACCAAAGGTACACTCGCCTTACCGACATGACATAAAAATTGGTTTTCTTTTCTTTTCTTTTCTCTTTCTTTTTCTTTCTCTCTCTCTCTCTCCCTCCTTCTCTCTCTTTTCTTTCTTTCTCTTTCTGTCTCTTTCTCTTTGTCTCTCTTTCTTTCCTTTCTCTTTCTTTCCTTCCTTCCTTTCTTCCTTTCTTTCTTCCACCCCCCACCCCCCAAATCCCTGGCTGTCCTGGACTCACATTGTAGACCAGTGGTCTCAAACTCACAGAGATCCGCCTGCCTCTGTCTCCCTGAGTTCTGGGATTACAGGCAGGTACCACCATGCCTGCCTAATAATTTAAATTTAAAAGGCACTTGCAAAAGTCAGGCTGAAATTCAAAGTGAATGGCCTTTGTAATCTAAAAATAAATAGACTTACAGGTATATTTGGCTTCAAAATTTCAAAAGATTTTTTTTTAATTTCAATTGAGAGATAATACTTTTTCTACTGCCAAAAAACATTTTTCCCTAGGAAAAATATAACCCACCAAAAAATGAACCCGGTCCCCCCCCCCCCCCCCCCCCCAATTAGGATTGGGGTAGGATTTTGTTTTTATCTTTCCTGGAGAACAAAAGCATCCAACTAAGGAATCTAGAGACCACTGGACAACTGAAACATCTGAAGAAAAAGGAAGACAAGACAAGTACCCCAGATTATCCAGCCTCACAGACTGCCTCAATGGCTGTTTCCTCACAAATCTGCATCCAAAACAACTTCAAACAACTAGCTACGATGGTCCAGCCTCACAGACTGTTCCAGTGAAGACTTCATTTAAGCCTTTCACAGCATAAAGTAACTGGACAGCAAATGCTAAAGCTTTCTTAAGATTTGGCCATTTTTCCAATTTCTTGGGCCCCCAAAAGGAAAACTATGTTTCAAATCAGCAGGAAGAAATTTTAAG